TAGTGCTCAAACAAACTAAAATAGAAAAAAAAACTAAATAAATAAATGTTTGAATTAGTGTCAAAGTAAATAAAATCAAACTAGAACTCAATTTCCGGCAACGAAGCCAAAAGTTTGTTCTTGAAAATATCTTTAGATTAAACCACTTTCAGTGTACGGTTCGTTAACAAGTAATAAAGTGGGGTTGAGTTCAAGTATTGTCCCACAAAGATTAATTTAGTTTGATTCTAATTATTGTGACTGTAACCGAAACAATAATATTGAGATTGTTTGTTTATGACTAAATTATAAACAAAATAAACTATGTATGCAATTATGAGTGAATTAACTAAATTAATTACAAATTAACTAAATAAAAATTTGATGTATTCTAATGAATGATAAATGCACTAGGATCGCGAATTCCCATGTAATAATCATTTTTAATCTTAGTTAATTCACTCATAATTGAATCATTTTTAATCTTAGTCACATTTTGACAATACGATTGAATTTTGAATAATCAATGTTCATATTTTATTCAACAATCTCTCTCGAGTAATGTTAAATCTATGAGCTCATATATGACTCAATTATATCTCTATGACGGATGTGAACATACAAGAATGCATAAATTTTGATGAATACTTGAAGATTCACATAATAATGCATAGTGATAAGTCTCTATCCCCCTATCGGACCTAACGACAATTTATACAATATCGAGCCTATTTTCCATTTTTCAAATGCATAAAATAAGTCATCATATACACAACTACCATGCACAATAATTGTGTAGAAAAGAAATTTATATAAATTATTCAATATCCAAAAATATGTTTTCATGTTAAATATGTAAAACTAAAAATTAAAAACTCATATAGCACAGTACATCATTCTCCTAGCACAAAGAAATTTAGCCTAACATGTTATGAGAAGAAATCATAAGAAATATTGAAGAATCGACACCACCCAATTAAATCTTGAGTTGAATCTTTGAGTCTTGGAATCGATGTTCGTGTTTCTTGCCTCTTTCTATGCTCTAAAACCTCTTTTAATGTATTATGATGTGTCCTTCCCTAAATATGAACGACCCTAGGGCTTTAAAAGACGGCCTAAAATTTTTTTATAAGAATTTCAATCATAGAAGGAAACCAAATTTTTTTGTCGGAATTATATTATGCTATAGCACAGTTCAATGAAATTCGGCCCTGAACTTCTCTAAGGGTCACGATGCAACAGAATGGAGAAACATACTATGCAACCGCATAGTTTAGGGTAGATCCAAAAGTTGCGCTTTAGTCCCCGAACTCCATTTTCTTGTTTTGTGACCTCTTTTCTCATTTATTCTTCTTCCAATACTATATTTTTTCACTAAATTGATCTTCGACTCATTCATATCTTTATTTCTTATTTCGGGTCATCTTTTGACTACTTGTCCTTTGATCCCTGAACTTTGGTTTTCTTCTACTTTGGTCAATTTTCGCTTTTTTTACTAGATTCCACTATATTGATCAATGTTTCCCTGGAAAGCATAATTTGCATAGAACTAAGTCGTATTCTAACTTATTTATCAATAATTATTCATGTTTTGTGGCAAAAATAAATGTGTAAAACGTAATTAGCAAAATTCATAGATATAAAACATATTTTAAAATATGTTTTCCCTCTCTTTTTTGCAAGATAGTTAGAATCTTTGAGTCTATATTTAGTGTCTATTTGACTCTCATTAAGTCATTTTATGGTTTGTCATTGGATCATTTTCAATCATATAATCACATAATAAATTATTCTACACATATACCAAAATTTGTTTCCTACTTTTTAACTGTACATTTTCCTAAAACTATTATTCAAAACTCATTAATAAGAATCAAATAGGCTCTTAGAAGTATAGGGTATATTATCAATTGAAATTATTTGCTGTGAATTTCTGTTTCATTATGAAACTAAGGGGTATTGTACCAATGGGTTCCAAACTTGAAATTGAGAAGTTTGATGGAATTGTGGATTTTTTTACTTTTCAGATACAAAATGCATGAGCCATCTTAGTCCAACAAAGGGTGGCTAAGGCTCTTAATAACCATAAGACATATTTTGAGGCATAAAAGACCAAACCCCACAAAAATGCAGTCAATGATAAGATAGTTTACAACTCCATCATTTTGCTCCTCACTGAAAATGTTATCAGCAAATAACAAAAAAAATGATATTGAGGTCTGGTCTGAACTTGACAAGCTTTTCAATATCACAAATGTGGCTAATAACATTTACTTGAAAAATTCTTTAGTTTAAAATGAATGTTGCTAAAGACAGAGAATTTAATTTAGATGAACTAAATAAGCTTGTTGCTTGTTGAGATTGGCCATAAGTTTGATGATGAACAAGTTCTTATACTGCTTTATTAAGTCCTTGTCTGACCCGTATAGAACCTTTAATTATGCCTCGTCAAAAATCTGATTGTCATGAATAGCATATCAAAGCCACTTCGTCTATTTAATGATGAGGATTTGTATCCTTAGTATGCTCCTTGTTACTAGTAAATATTACTACAAGTTCAGCTTTTCTTGAGCAACTTACATGATCTAATCATACAGTGAGGAATGGGTACAGAATGATAACAACTGAGATTGGCAGTGAGGTGGGCATGCATGCACATGGGCATCGGGATTGTGGAGCGGCATCTGGAAATTACATATTCCGCTGAAGTTAAAAAAGTTTCTGTAGCATGTGTACCATAATACCCTCCTTACTATGATTAATCTTGCTAAATGAAATATTCCGTTCTATTTGAGTTGTGTATGGTTCGACAATAAAGAGGACAGTGATCACTCTTTGTTTGGGTGTAGATCGGTGAAGCAGTAGTGGCACGAGGCGGGTTGGGTTGGTGGAATGAAACATGCTATGATGACATGATTTTTCACATATTCTATACAGGAAGACTGCTATCCTCCCTCCTGTACTCGGCCGTTGCCAAAACTGTTGCCAAAAACTTTTTTGGCAACAGCCAATTACAAGATAAGCATGCTCTAAGTAAAAGATTTTTTCACATATTCTGTACATGAAGACAACTATCCTCTTGCAATTGGCTGTTGCCAAAAAATGTTTTGGCAACAGTCAATTACAGGAGGACAGCTATCTTCCTAAAGAAAATCTGTTAAAAAATTCTATACTTGAAGAATTTCACTGGTGGAATTATATAGTCACATGTCAATTTTTGCTTTGCAACAAATGCTATGTTTTGTCTGACTTTATTCTGGAGTCGAAATGTGACACGTCATTTTGTTTCTCGTGAGAAAAATAGGGTGGCTCCACCCTCTCTTCATTTGCTAGATTAGGCCATGGTGTTCACTATTGGTCCACTTGTATCTCGATATTTACTTATATATATATATATATATATATCAATTTTGAGTGATCCAAAATAGGGATTTTTTTTTTCCCTTTTGGATTTATTAAGAAAATGATTTTTTTTTTTTTTTTTTAGTTCTATCCTATTAATTGATAATAAAACTATTCTCATTTTATATGAATTTTGTTTAACATGGGCTTGAGTAATATTTCACAAATTGAATCTGCCTAATTTCATGAAAGGAATAATTCACCATTTTATCTTGTTTTTTGACACATGCCAAAGTGCTGGAAAGGAAAGAATATCTTTTACATATCCACCCAGTTTGTCATCTCTCTTGAAGCCTGTCGTGTAGCGAGCCAGATGCTCAAATGTCAAATCAGAAAGGGTTCCAGTTTAACTCAAACGTAGCTCCCTTCCTTTTGTTTTGGGTGTGAAGCAGTATCAAACCAAAATACTATATATATATATAGTAAATCGATTAGGCAAATACTAGACTTTCAACATTTCACGTCCAGTAAGAGAGACAATAGGCTAGGTTTTCGATCTGCATCTTGCTGAGAATGGTTGGCAGATTAAGTTATTATTAGATTGTAAGTTAACCGTGAAGATAAAAAATTGTGGATCCTATTAAATGTCTTGATAAAGATAATGTTTGACTAACTTACAAACAAATATAAATTTTGCCAAACAAATACAATCAAATATCGGGCAACTTTTTTCACTGTATTTGGTTCAATTGTAAATATTCATGTTGTAAATCCAATTTATTTATTACTTCCATGGTAGTATAGGACTTTAGAAGAATTTAATTAATTTAGATCATATTTCAGAAGTGATTATCTTCTAGTCAAATATATTTTTATCCATATTTTTCATAAGTTCACAACTATTATTAACATATTATCTAAACATTATGTAAGATTCATAGTTTAAAATCGCTTAAATCTTAATTTAATCACATATCAAACATGTTTTATCTGATTTGTAGTTTAGAAAGTACGGATTCTTTTGGGGTTGGATTTTTAGCATTATGTCCTCTCTTCTTTTATCTTCCCAGGGATGAGAATGATGTCTTCGCAGTAGACAATGATTTTATTCTCGTTGGACAATGAGTGATTTAATCCAGAATAATCAAATGAAAAAAAAAAAATCAACATTTCAGCATCGACAATGATTTAATTCTGAATAATACCGGAATAGAGCATTATGTTTTATCTTTTTTTTTAAACATCCTCTTGGTTTTAATATCTTTATCTTTGAGTTGACGAGATTAGAGAATTTATTGAATTGATGAGAGGTTTAGAACGTTGATTATTAGAGAAATAATTCTAAATACCCTTTCGAACTATTTACTAAATACTAGAATAATTTATGAAGCACAAAGTAGTGACTTTATGTACATATAATTGATGGGCAAAATCCGACCCTGTTCCCAAAACGAATTTCACGAGGAAAGGGAAAGAAAAGAAAGGATAAATTAAGTTGAGAACAATGTAATATTAATAAGTACAAGGCTCCGTATAAGAATGCATTGAGGTGGTGAATTTCACTATTATTATTTTACTCGACTCTAATTGTAAATATTTCTCCTTTTTCGAATTAAATGGGTGCAGATGATTAATATAATTCTCTTGAAGAACTATAGTATGTAAAGTAAATTTGGCAAATAGACACATTTACATGCTAAAGTAATTTATTCGCTGACAAGCATTCGTACACGGAGGAATGAATCCTCACATTCATTCACAAGCATCATCAAGCCACCACACGAGACCTTCATTTATGCTACAACATATATACAATTAAAAAAAAAAAATCACCGAAGAAGAAAGACAAAAACACACACACAAGTTGATTAGCAAGCACACGACTCCATATCATTTTGCCTTGAGATGGTAAGACTCGATATCTTTTGAGAGGTTAATGAGAGCACCCAAAAATGTGAGTGGCTCTTCAACGTCATCCTTCAGCTTTTCATAGTCGAGGGTCCATGTTACCAAATCAATGCCATGATGTGTTTCAACATGGAAATCGATTTTAAAGACTTTGTATAACTCGAGTAGATCACCCTCGATCATATTAAATGTGAGTGACCTCTTTTCCTTGTCAATGGCTTCGAGGATATCTTTGCCTACTTTCTGCTTCCCATCTACAATTAATTGAAAATTTACCAAAAATAAAAATAATAAAATAATAATAAAATAATAAAGCTTCAGAACAATTGATATGAAAGAGAAGTTTGAAACCACTATGATGAAAGTGTAATGTGATGAGAATCTTCAATGCATATATTTTATATCTTAGACGGGTCACTTACTCTTGTTGGTGGAATAGTTTTTTCTTCACTTATGCAAGGCTGAAGTGAACGTGGCAATATTTGATTAAGTCCAGATTTTTAGTAGATTTTTGTTAAAGTTGATAGAATATATTTGAAAAGTTGTTATCGCACAAAATGTGATATTAAGATTATAGGCAATTAGTACAAAACGTTTCTCATATTTTAATGTTATTGTACAAAATGTCACTACCTCTATATTTTGGCATTTGCACTCCTATTTTCACATTTCATTGAGAAAAATGTCATTTTCATCCAATTTTTCAATTAAAAAATATAAAATGACAAATATACCTTCCTATTTAAATAAAAAAAAAAAAATTAAAGAACAAATTGCAATAATACTCCCACGCTTTTTTTAAAAACTGCAACTAAATACAAATAAATTATTAAAAGTGTAATTAGTACAAAACGTTCATATCTTTTAATATTATTGTGCAAAACGTATCCATCTTTCATTTTTTGACATTCTCACCCTTATTTTCACATTTTATTGCAGAAATCATCATTTTATCCATTTTTTAAATTAAAAGCTATAAAATAATAAATATACCTTCTTATTTAAATAAAATAAAAAACAAATTGTAATTATATTCCCAAATGTTTCAAAAAAGTACAAACACATTTCAAATTAATAATTAAAAAAGAAAGTGATCTTTCATTTTTTGTTTTTAATTATTTATTTGAAATTTATTTGTACTCTCTTGAAAAATTTGGAGTATAGTTGGAAATTGTTCTTTATTTTTTTATTTAAATAGGAGGATATATTTATCATTTTATAGCTTTTAATTGAAAAAATGGATGGAAATAATGATTTCTCCAATGAAATGTGAAAATAAGATGAAAATGTAAAAAAAAAAATTAAAGATGAGGACGTTTTGCACAATAATATTGAAGGTATGAACGTTTAGTGGTAATTACCTTTGTAATAACTTATTTGGACTCATTTGCGAAGTTTTAAAAAGTTTGAGAATATATTGTAATTTGTTCTTTTTTTTAAATTTCATGGTATATTTGTCATTTTACATTTTTCATTGAGAAATTAGATGAGAATGACATATTCCGTGATGAAATATGAAAATATGGGTGAAAATGTCAAAAAATGAAATGTAAAAACGTTTTGTACAATAACATTGAAAAGTAAGAATATTTGTACTAATTACCCTTAAAATTAACCGTTGACTTTAGGTTATATTTTAATTAAAATTTTTGGCTGAAACATATATATGCTAATTACACATGTAACAAATATCAATTGACTTGGCTTAACCAAGAAAGTTAAATGAGGTTTAGTTTTAATTATGGTTAGTAAGCTTAAAACAACCGAAGATAATTCTATTGGAAAATACTTATCCACCTTTTTAGATGCTAAACTCTTAAGAATAATTAATAAATTATGTTTGGTGTCAAAAAAGAGAATGAAAAGTTTTCATTTATTTTTTATTTTTATTTATTTTGTTGAAGAAATTCTGACTCAATCATATCTCACCACATCATGTATATATAAGTCTATTATGTACATGTAACAAAATCGAACTCTTAATAATCGATGGTTTAGATAGCGTAAATATTGATGTAAACATTGCCGACGATGGAAAATATAGGAATATTACCATATTTCGAGCCACGTGAAATAAATAATAATAATAATAATAATAATAATAATAATAATAATAATAATAATAATAATAATAATAATAATAGAAGCCTACCATGAATAAACTTCCAGATGTAGACTGAGCCTACAGTTCCCCATTTTCCTTCATGCAAATCACAGCCTTGAATAACATTAGGGCTGATGTTGGGTAGTTGCTGTGGTGTTTCACTTAACAGTCCATGAAATACATCTCCACCAGCCTTCATCTCTATTTGAGCTGTTAATTTACCTTTGAGACCCATATTTTTTTGTAGTGAAGAGAATCAAAGTTTTGTGAATAAGGAAGCAGACACTAACAAGTCGTAGTAAAGATGGGGATACCACTCTCAATCTTTCTGTCTATTTATAGAACCATTATGATCAGGAAAATTGATGCAAGTTGTACATAACATTTTTTTTTTGATTAGTTTATGTCAATATTTTAATAGATTAAGACATCACTCTGCCTTAGCTAATTATTGTGCATATTACCCATATGACTGCTTTACTAGCCCGACTCTAGAAAGCAATGCCTTCTACTTTTACATGTTGTTATGCTCATCAAGGAAAAAAACTTGCCAAATGGGCACGTAGTCATCCCACGTAACTCTCCCGACTCACACACTACTAAAGATCATGGCTTCACGAATGGATATTTCATTCCTAAAATCTCGATATCCGTTGCTATTACTCTTTACCAACGAAATATTTGCTACCACAAATCCATTGCTAATTTGAGGGTCGTTGATAGTTACCAACGAATCCAGCCGTAGGTAAAGAGTAAATATTTTACCAACGAATTTTCCGTTGGTAAAGTGTGAATCTTTTAACAACGAAATTTTCATTAGTAAAAATTTTAATCAATACCAACGGACTTTTCATTGGTAAATGCTTACCATTACAATTGGTAAAAATCAATGTCGTAAATAGCCGTATAGGTGTGAGGTATGGTAATATATATATGGTAACTCTGAAGATTTTGTTATGAACTTTCGATGTGGGATAAGTGAATTATTTTTACTAACGGATAATTCGTTTCTAATTATCAATGAAATATCTGTAGGTGAAAGATCCAAATGTTAAACGATTACATGAAGCACAATATCAGTTGGTAAAGAGATATCATCGTCACTAATGAAAAATTCGTTACTCATTATCATAGTTGAAATTGAATTATTTTTACCAACAGACAATCCGTTTCTAATTACCAACGGATTGCATCCGTTGGTAATATTCGGTACGTTACCTACGGATATTCCATAGGTGAAAGATCCAAATGTTAAACGGTTACATAAGGCACGGAATATTCGTTGGTAAAAAGATATCATTATTGCCAACAGAAAATCCGTTGCTAATTATCGTAGCTGAAAGTGAATAACTTTTACCAACGAATAATCCGTTTCTAATTATCAACGGTTGGATCCGTTGGTAATTTTCTGTTGGTGAAAAGCTGTTTTTTAGTAATGACAGGATACAACAAAATAAAAGCCAAATAAAAGTCGTTAACTCTATCGATGCTCGAATATTTCAATCAACAGATCGTTAATTCATAGAAATAAATATATAAAATCGGCTATATTGAGAAACTTCCAAAATAGCATGTAGATAATTTGTTGTTCAATTCCTAAATTTTTATGCATAAACACTGGACTTTCGTCAGTAGCTTCGATGTGCTATTATACATACAGAGAAGCAATAGTCTATACATTATTAGGGGACTAAATGCCATAATTTAGCGTAATGGATAAAATTAAAGAACAGTAAATATAATCAAGATCATCAAGGACCAAATTTGCCAAAGGGAATATCGGTGCAGATCAGCTAAAGGAAATTGATTGCTTCCCATATAACTTGTCATGATGCTTCTTCAATGGCCATAATTATCCAACTTAACTTTATTTTAATCACATGATAAAGAGCATTTTTCACAAAGTCTAAATAATAATTAAACTGATCACATATTTTGTTGAAACCACAAATATTACTAACTTATTATCGTCCTTTTTTTACTAGGGTCCACAACTACTACTTTTACAATTCTTTCTATTACCATGTAAAATTGATGTAGAGGCCTTTCAAAATAAAAGTATAACATAAATGATAAATATAAGTTATTTATTTTGAAATTAACACTATATAAAAATTTTCTCCATTGCTTCCCCATCTATTGGGGAGGTGGCTCAACCCTTCACACCACCTGACCCGCCACCACTCCCAAACGGACCACCACTTTGATATCTCCAAATCGCGGCCATTATAAAGTGAGAATTCTCTCAAACCTCCCCTATGCTACTCACCGTCCCATCTTTGTTTTAAGGGGAGCCCTTTTAAAGTTCTCGAAAGAAGATAACAAAGAATTTACTTCAGATTTAAAATTTTCCAAATTAGTTAAATCCTTGAGATTAAAACGGCATATAAATACGGTGAGATTTGGCCTCTAAACATTTGATTTTAAAAGTGATTTCTTGACCACTTCAATTGATCTCAAACCAGTCATCATTAATTTTAACTATGAAGAAGATTATAATAGATTGTTTTGGATAGGAATGAGGATTTCAATGTTGGAGTAATTCAAAATTTGAATCATATAAAGATAGGAAACATGCAAATTTAGAGAAACAGAAATATTGTGGTGGAGCAAATTAATTTGAGATGTGCTGGGGAAAATTTCATGCGTGTATAATGAGCATGGACCCACATGGGTGATTGATCGATGAAATTCAACAAAGGTACGGTATAGTAGCCAAGTAATAAAGAATAAGTAAAGTATCATTCTCAATATGACTAAATATTTAATCTAGTTTTAAGTTAATTCCAACTATAATTGAATATTAAGATTAGTTTATGGTTGAGTTTATATTAACAATCTAATTTGAATACTAAATTAACTAATCTAGCTAATTAATATGGAAGCATTATGAAACTCGAGTAATTCATAAATACTGGGACATCGAATTCCTCTACTTTCATCCAATTTAATATTTAATCCAAATTTAAGCAAATATATTTAGATATGAAGATCAATGTTCCAAATTCTTTTAATAATCTCTCTTGAATGTGTGACTTTCCTATATTTCTATGAAAAATACAAACATGTAAAGAAGCATTAAAACACATGAGCAGTCATATAGGTCATGCAAAGAATAGTAGTATATTTCTATCCTGCATCAGACTATAGATGGTTCAACATTATCCTAGCCTCTACATAATTAGTCAAGCATCTAATTGATAACAAATATACAACATCACCCGATTTTGAGTGATTCAAAAGAAGTTCGAATGAAATTTTGACGTTCTTACATCTTTTCAATGGCATCTTGATCAATTCCTTTGATTCTTTTTCTTCTTCCTAAACTCAAGAAATAGATGTATGAAAATAGTTATGAATGTGTTTTGTAACAAGCTTCTAGAAAGCTTTTAATGGATTTATGGAATTCTTGAACAGAGCTTCCTCTTTGACTCTCCCTCTTATAAGAATTGTGGTTTTTCTAACATAAAGAGCCTCTCTTGGCTTGTATAATATGTATAATATATGTATAATGAATCTGACAGGATTTCCTCAATTGTTGGATTGAAGTATATATCTACTGAACAAGATTTATGTCAAAAACCTTATTTCGATTGATCTTCAAAATGAGTTTTAGAACAAAAATTTAACAACTTTCTTTTCTCAGTTTGAGTCATTTTCTCATGCAATTTAAGTCTTTAATCCTCATAATTAAATCATCTTCATCCCAAAATCATTAATAAATGATCGAATTCAAGTTCTTAAAGTTTGTATTTAATGTCCAAACTTTTTAAATGTTGAATTTGACTCCCAAAACTTATGAATGTTTACTGAATACTCAATTAAAACTTTCAATTGAACAATTGCAATCCTATTGATCTTCAAGTACTTTGAACCAAGCCAAATTATGCTCCGATTTCACCTATTTTGCACCACTTTCATTCATGTGTATCAACAATGGGGATTTTCCTATTCTTAACATAGATATTATAGATATTTGCTCAATTAATGATAAATAATTGAGCATAAAATGCATTTATCAGTGACTTATAGATCATGACATGGATGAGACTACAAATGGAAAAATCTTTAGCCCAAGAGGAAACGAGTATAAAGGAAAATAATGAAACCAATTAGAAGCATGGTAAAAAAATATTGACTTGAATGGGCAAGGCAATATTTCAAATGTTAAAACATATGGGGTTATAAATTCAAACTAAATGCCACTTAAACCTTGATAACCTGCAAAAGGTGTTCGTTTCATCGACTTTCGATTGAATTGCCCAGTTGGAAAGTTTTTAAGCGGGTCATAAATAAGTAGTTTTAGATAAATAATCGATCCGATTTTGGGAACCGATTCTCGATTTTACTGGTTGAATGGACCGACTGGGAAGTTTTGATAACCTTGGTTACAGTAAACAGAAAATGGAGGGATCAATTACCAAAATTCATAAAACTAGGAGTTTAAATTTAGGGACCAATTTGCAACATCCATATTTTTGGGGTAGAATTAGGGATGTAAACGAGCCGGGCCGGCTCGCGAGCCTAAAATTTCGGCTCGAGCTTGGCCCGATTAAAATGACCGAGCTTTTTTGCTGGCTCGAGCCGGGCCGAGCAAAAAATAGGCTCTGGCTCGGGCTTTTTTCGGGCCAAGCCTAGTAGGCTCATTTTCTCCACCTTTTTTTTCCTGCTACCTTTTAAGCCTCAAATTTTATTAAAATTTTTTTTTTTAGAAGCTCGTGAGCTCACGGGTCAAGCCCATGTCCCCAGAATGGGGCTCGGGTCTTCCGAGCTAGCTCGGGCTTTTCCCAAGCCGTGTCATACGCGGCCCGAGCCGACGAGCTCGATTGCCATCCTTAGGTAGAATTACAACAAAAAATGCAGGGGAGAATTGATGAATAGCAAAAATAGTCTACCAAGCTGAGAATATTTTGGACAAGGAAAATAAATTTGTTGGCAATTTAGTCAAACATGTTAACTATTTAGGAACTTTTGCAAACTCGGATGAGGACCAACCAGGGGTTATCTCATAATTTAAGAGTCGTAGAATAAAACTTAGCCCTTGTTTGAGCTCCATTCTTCGGAAAGAAATACATTTTTAAACAATATTTTGACATTATTTTAAAAATGCATTCTTCAATAAAATAATATTATATAGAAATCTAAAACTTTTTCTCATTTTTTAATCACACATTTTTCATCAATATTGATGCTACCAAAAATCGTACCTGAGCAATTCCGAGCTGGACGACTGGTGGCGAGCACGAACATGTTCTTCCGGTACCTGAAACAAAGGCGTCGAGGTGTGTCCTCGTCGCCCCTCCGATGCTTAAGTTAGAATA